TTTGCTTGTGCAACAACAGATAGTATTCAATTTGGAAATTATATTTTTGACGAAAACAAGGCAGGACTCTTCTTCGAAATTCTCCGATGTATTACAAAAAATGGCGTAACTAATAAAGTTTATGATTTGAGAGCTAACATTTTATACCATATATTTCCACATGATGAACTTTTACGATCTATTGTACGAGTTGGCTGTCACTGCCACATAAGGGAAATGATCAATAAAGTACTGACTGACGTAACTATGGCCGATGAAATTCATAGATGTTCTAATGATCAGTGTAAACGGATAATGAAAACAGTACCAATTAAGTGTATTCCGTATTCATCTCATTCTGGAGATTTTGGGGACTTACAAGTACATATTGATGGTTTGATAAAATCATCATCATCAGTATGCAGTTTCAGTAATTGTGAAGGAATATGGAGTATTAAAACAGTATTAAAAAGCCACATTTTAATTGAAGTTTCAAACATACCAGAAGGTAAACATACATTTTTGTAATTTTTATTTTTAATCCCAAATAGTGTCATCAAATTTACAACTGAATTGCACAATTTTTTTTTTGTGTTTAATAAAAACTACTTCCATATAAAAATTGTAAATAACTATTAAAAAATTTAATGTATATACAATTTTATAATATTTAAATATATTAATTTTATGTTTAATAGTCGCCATAACCGTAATTGTAAATCAAATATAACGATTTCTTGTAAAAACTAATATACTAATATTGTAAAAAGTATAGGATAAGAATTTTTTTAATAATCAGTAATCACTAACAGCCTAATCCTCCACAAATAAAACAATACTATAATTTAAATTATTGATAAATATTTAAACATTTTATTTTAGATAAATTATTCTATCAAGATAATAAAAATGGAGACGAAAATTTATTAGATATACCTGAAGCAGTATTTGTTGATGTTGTATGTAGTTTGGAAAGCATACCAACAAGAATCAATCTTATAAATGATCATTTTATACTACGTGGAGCAGCTGTATTTATAGGAAACAGATCTGCTGCAAGGACAGGTTTAGGACATTATGTGGCAGTTGCACTAAGAAATGATGGACTATGGGAGGAGTATGACGATTTTAAACAGAAACCAGTCAAAATTTCGAAAATAACAGAATGTGCTGTACAAATTCTTTTATACACTAAAGAAACTTAAGTATAACTATTAGAATTTGTAATATAACTAATGATAGTTGGTTTTAATTTTAAAAATAAAAAAGCTATTTCCATTACGTTGCTACGTTAATATGAGGTTTAAAATTGACGATGTAAATAATAAAAGGTTAAAAAAGCAATATATTTACTTCACGATTAACAGGTATAAAAACAATACAGGTAAAT